GTGTGTGTGTGTGTGTGTGCGTGTGAGTGTCTCTGTGTGTGTGTGTGTGTGTGTGCGTGTGTGTGTGTATGTGTGTGTGTGCGTGTGTGTGTGTGTGTGTGTGTGTGTGTGTGTGTGTGTGCGCGTGTGTGTGTGTGCCATACAACGTGAGATTCGACTTCATTGATTACAACATAGAATATATCGAGATCCTGACCAGATAGAAAGTTATTGCTTTGAACAAAGTTGTTCAGGAGGTTAAAGTCTATTTTTTGGGCACAATTTTTCAGAATTTTCTCACTACGCGACGCTAGTATACACGTGAAATTTTCACGTTTAACATATCTCGAGATCCTGACCAAATAGAAAGTTACTGTCCTCGGCAAAGTTGTTCAGGAGGTCAAGGTTTTTTGGCTGGTGAACAGTAGTTCAGAATTTTCTCACTGCGCTGTGCTAGTATACACGTGCAATCCTCATATATGCTACAGCTCGAGATCCAGAACAGCTAGAAAATTACTGTCTTCGACAAAGTTGTTTATGAGATCAAAGCTTTTTTGCTGGTAAACAGTAAATAGTTCAGAATATTTTCGGTATGCGGTGCTAGTGTGCATGTAAAATATTTGTATATGCTATAGCTTAAGGTCAGGAAGTAACTGTCATCGTCAAAGTTGTACATGCAGCAAAGTTCTTCCGGATGGTGAACATGCAAATGTGTTTTGTTCAAAGCTCTCTAATGTTACGTCCAATTTTTGATCTCCTTAGGTTATTTGAATGGTATAAATGGTATAATGGTTCTACTACTACTTTTAGTTTCAATTTTTTTTCCAAGTCAATTCTGAGAAAATCAATCATTATTCTTAAGAGTAAATTTCGAAAAATAGTGTAACTTTGGGTGAAGCTTTGGTATACAAAATTTGAAAATCATATTGAGCAATTTGCCCCTTCGTATTTCCATTTAAAATCTTTAAAATGTTCTAAAAAGAACGAAAATTTGACGTTTTTAGGGCATGTCCTTACACTTATGATCGGGAGTGTGCAGTTTTATAAATTTCTCCATTCAACTGAGCAAAAATGCCTCACTCTCTGAGTTAGTCTCGTTGTCCGTGACACGTTAATACAAGGATTTTTTTTGTTCTGTCCCCTCAATAAGACATTTTGAAATTAGCCTTAAATGAAAGGGAGACTCTAAACATTCATTTGGTGGAAGTTTCAACGATATTGATCTTTTAAGATAATGTTTTCTATCTGAGATACGTGTTACCACTAATTTATCAAAGGTATACAAGTGGAACGACTCACCTCAATTTATGTATCCACAAATCTGCATGAAAATCTTCACCAATAAAAGAATTCCAGAATATATTTGGCTTATCCTACTTAGGCTGATGTAAATTGTATTTTTATTTTATGATATTTGATATGCGAGAATTGCCCGCCAAAAGATCTTTATCTTCTCAACAGCTTTGCCAACAACAGTAAATTTCTAGCTGTTCAGGATCTCGAGATATTATATATGCGAAGATTTTACGTATATCCTAGCGCCGCATAGTGAGAAAATTCTGTACTGTCGACCAACGAAAAAGTTTTGATCTCCTGGACAATGTTGCCGATGACAGTTTAGCAGGTTTCGAAATATATCTAATGCGAGAATTGCACGTGTATACAAAATGAATTTCTGTCCACCAGCCAAAAGGCTTTGGCTCCCTGAACAACTTTGCCGAACATAGGTCAGGATCTCGTGATATTTTACATGTGAAAATTTCACGTGTATACTAGCGCCACTTAGGAAATTCTCAACTTTGCGAAGACAGAAACTTTCTATCTGGTCAGGATCTCGAAACAAACCACATGCGAGAATTTCACGTGTATTCTAGCGCTACGTAGTGAGAAATTTTGGAACTACTGTCCACTAGCGAAATCTATCTGAACAGAATCTCGAGATATTTTACATGCTAGAATTTTGCGTGTATACTAACGCCACTTAGTGTGAAAATTCTGAACTATTGTGCACCAAGCAATAGACATTGAGAACAATATATAACAACTTTTTCGAAGACAGTAATTTTCTACTTGTTCAGAATCACGAGCTATAGCATACGCGAGAATTGTACAAGTTTACTAGCGCCACGTGGTGAGAAAATTCTGGGCTACTGTGCACCAACCAAAAAGTCTTGACCCAATGAACAAGTTTGCCGAAAACAGTAGCTTTCTATCTGCTCAGGATCTCGAGCTATTGTATATGCGATAATTGCACGTATATATCACATGCGGGAATTTCACATGTGTTCTAGCGCTCCGTAGTGAGAATATTCTGAACGACTAATATGTCAGATATCATTCATCGTTAATATTAAAAAAAAAACGTTTATAACTTATAACTTCAGATTTGTTGGACTCCAAAACCTTTCGATTGGTGGTTGGTATGTCAAATTTGGATCAGTGGTTCTGATGATAACTTCGACACCAGTCAATTTCTTATGACATTCAAGAAAAAAAATTATAAGGTCCCAGGACCTTTCGTTTGGCAGTTGTTTTGTCCAATTTGTAACAGTTAATGAGGATATATGCCATTTTGTACCAATAACCTG